AGAACTAAAATCTTGACAAGACTGAGTCTTCCTATCTATATACATGGAGTATCTCCATTTTTAGATCATCTTTGATTTCTTTCATCAGAGTTTTGTGGTTTTCCTCACATATATGTTATCCCTTTTTTGTTAGATTTGTACTCAGTACTTCATTTTTGTGAGTGCTAATGTAAGTGGTAGTATTTTTAATTTCAAATTCAAATTGTTCATTGCTGTTATACAATAAAGCAACAGATTTTTTGTGTATTAACCTTGTATCTCACAATCTTGTTATAATTGCTTATTGGTTCAGAAATGTGTTTAAATGCTTAATATTAAATACACAGGACTATGAAGAAAACGGATTACATTGAAACAGTTATCAAAACATAAAAACACCTTTGTGATAAGTAATACATAAGCCTCTGTTAATGAATTAAGTAATAAGATGTAGGAATAGGTTTAACAACTACTATACTCTTGAGGTAGTAATGAGCATAAATGATATTTCAAGATAGGTGCCACATCTATAATGTGTTATGAAAATATCTGTGGTTTCTTTTAGTGACAAAGTCACAGATTCTGCAAATACTACTGTGGTTTATTGCTTACATTCATTAGAGAAAGAAACACTAAGTTTCAGTTAGAGGTTAGTGAAGATAAAGATGCATCTTTTTCCCATGCAAGTTCATCCCCACTTGAATTCTATCATGGGGATGATTGATGCTAGACTTGCTAGACCTGCAGTTATATAGACTGAAGTAGATCTACAGGTATTGAGACGGAAAAATCTTCAAGGCATGTTATAGAATGAAAAAAGTTAATTGCTGAACAATACGCATGGTGTGACACTACTTGTGTTTAGAGGTACCCACACATGCAAAAGCAAGTCAGTGGAGAAAAACAGCCTTTTCAACATATGATGCTGGAGCAATTGGTTATCCATAGGCCAAAAATCAACTTTGACCTAAACCTCATACCAACTCAAAATGGATCATGGACTTAAATGTAAAATAAAAGCTATAAAACTTTTAGGAAAAAAAGCCTGGGGCTAGGCAAAGAGTTCTTAGACTTGACACCAAAAGCTCAATATGTAAAAGGAAATTAATAAGCCAGACTTGATAAAAAAAATTTGTTCTTTGAAAGATGATGTTTTAAGAGGATAGAAAGACAAACTAAAGAATTGGAGAAAATATTTGCAAGCCACTGTCTAACAAAGACTTGTATCCAGAATAGATAAAGAACTCTCAATATTCAACAGTAAAAAATTAAACAATCCAGTTGAGAAGTAGGCAAATGACATGCATAGATGTTTCACCTAAGAGGAAACACAGATGGGAAATAAGAGCATGAAAAGATGTTTAACATCATTAGCCATTAAGAGAAATGCAAATTAAAACCACAATGAGATATCATTACACAGCTATCAAAATGGCTAAAATAAAAAAATGGAGACAACACCAAATCCTGGGGAGGATATGGAGAAATTGATCATTCATCACTGGTGTGAAAGTAAAATGGTCCAGCCATTTTAAAAAATAGGGTTGGCTCCTCAAAAAACTAAAAATAGAAATACCATTTGACCCAGGAATTTCACTCCTAGGAATTTACCCTAAGAATGCAGCAGCCCAGTTTGAAAAAGACATATGCACCCCTATGTCCATTGCAGCACTATTTACAATAGCTAAGAAATGCAAGCAACCTAAGTGTCCATCAGTAGATGAATGGATAAAGATGTGGTACGTATACACAATGGAATATGATTCAGCCATAAGAAGAAAACAAATCCTACCATTTGCAACAACATGGATGGAGCTATAGGGTATTATGCTCAGTGAAATAAGCCAGGCATAAAAAAGACAAATACCAAATGATTTCACTCATTTGTGGAGTATAAGAACAAAGAAAAAACTAAACGAACAAAATAGCAGCGGACTCACAGAACCCAAGAATGGACTAACAGTTACCAAAGGGAAAGGGACTGGGGAGGATGGGTGGGAAGGGAGGGATAAGTGGGGGAAAAGAAAGGGGGCATTACGATTAGCAGGCATAATGTGGGGGAGCACGGGGAGGACTGTACAACACAGAGAAGACAAATAGTGATTCTATAGCATCTTACTATGCTAATGGACAGTGACTGTAATGGGTATGTGGTGGGGACTTGATGATGGGGGGAGTCTAGTAACCATAATGTTGCTCATGTAACTGTAGATTAATGATACCAAAATAAAAATAAAAATTAATTAATTAAACATTTTTTAAATAAGGGAAAAATAGGGTTGGCAACTTCTTTAAAAACTGAACATGCAACTAACATATGACTTAGTGATTGCATACCTGGGCATTTTATCCCAGAGAAATGAAGACTTGGGTTCCCACAAAATCTTGCACATGAATGTTTAGAGCAGCTTTATTTGTAAGTCAGAAACTGGAAACAACCCAGATGTCCTTTAATAGGTGATAGTTTAACAACATCCATACCGTGGAATACCATTCAGCAATAAAGAGGAATCAAATCTTAATACACACAACAATCAGGGAAAACTCCAAGCAGTATGTCGAGTGAAAAAAGTCCATTCCCAAGGGTTATATAGTGTATGATTCCATTTGTACAACACTCTTGAAAGGACAGAATTATAAAAAATGAAGAGTAGATTAGTGGTTGCCGGAGGTGAAAGGAAAGGGAAGGGAGTGGGTGTGGCTATTGAAAGGGCAATATGAGGAACCTATTTGGTGACGGAATGTTCTGTATCTTCACTGTATTCATGTCAGTATCCAGGCTCTGACATTGTACTGTAGTTTTGACAGATGTTACCATGGTGGGGAGTGGAGGGAAATGTGTCAAGCAAGCACAGGATCTCTGTATTATTTTTTACAACTGCATGTGATCTATGACTATGTGAAAATAAAAAGTTTAATTAGCACAGCCACACACAAACATTACATATTTCCTTGGGAATTTTTTGATGTATCACAACATAAAAAGTATAAAAAGGTATGCAAACATATGTCCCAAGTCAATTAATAGTGGGTTATCTCTGGGGAGAGCATGGGAACTGAAGGGATGGATGATCATTGCAATGTTGAATTTCATCAATAATATTTTAATTTCTTACAAGGAGAAGTAATTCTACCTGAGTAATTAAAAATTAAAACAAACTCATTGATCTGAGAGAAATGCTAGCTCATTGATTCCTTAATTCCTAGTAAGGTGAACAATTTTGGGGAGCTTTCTAAGAGTTAAGAGTATGTTGGTCTGACCTTTAGACCTGCTGATATGGCTGAGTAAAACCCTGGACTTGCCCTCGCCACTCTGCCACTGTGCTGGTGACTTCTATTGACCCCTCCAGATCCATTTTTGGCCATACTAGGCCCTCAGATACTGCATCTGTGAGCCCCCCTTGTCCTCTGACTTATGGTTGGGTTCAGCCAATGGGAGGCCCTGGCAGGGGATTGAAGTGAGGCGGCAAACAAGATTAGGTATTTATTCTCCATTCTCCTGGCTCCCTCCTGGCAAGGCTGAGGTCTGACAGGGATTGTGTTCCTTTAAGTAAAGCCACACTTGGTCTCCTCTCTCCTAGGATGGCAAGAGCTCCTCATGTTGCCAGCCCGTGGGTACATCACCACTCCTTGTTTGTTCCCTTAACCCTGCCACTTTCTCCAGGTTAAACATTTGAGTAGGCCACCCGGCTTGACTATAAGTTGCATGTTTAGTTTTATATATTAAAAAAAACTGGCAACCAAACTTCCTTTCTAACCTGGGTCCGGCAGAATGGCTCCTGCAAGGATGGGGGTGGCGCAAAGAAGAAGGACTGTTCCACCATCAGCGAGGCCATGACCAGGGAGTACACCGTCAACATTCACAGGCTCATCCATGCAATGGGCTTTGGGAAGTGTGCCCCTTGGGCACTCGGAGAGATCTGGAAATTTGCCATGAAGGACATGGGAATTTCAGGTGTGCACATTGACAATAGGCTCAACAAAGCTGTCTGGGCCAAGGAAAAGGAAATGTCCCATACCGTATCTGTACACAGTTGTCCAGAGAAGGTAATGAGGATGAAGAGTCCCCAAACAAGGTCTATACATTGGTTTCACCTATCGCCACTTTGAAAAATCTACAGACAGTTCATGTGGATGAGAATTAATGGCTGACTGTCAAATAAAGTTATAGAATGGCAAAACGAAACAAAATAACTGCCAACCTGTTTGCACATGAATGTTTAGAGCAGCTTTATTTGTACCATTTTTACATTCCTACCAATCACACATGAGTGATCCAGTTTCTGGATCATTTTTGAGTTGCACTCACAAATCAGTTCTCCAGAGCTTTCTCATTATTGTTTCTTAAATTCTTAAAGCGGTTTTTATAATAAAGTAGAGATCTCAAACAGCGGGTCACAGGAAACTGTTCTATGAGGTCGGTATTTTTCTCAGTCTGGTCGGGCTGCACTAACAAAATACTGTACCTTATAAACAACAGAAATTTATTTCTTGCAGTTCTGGAGGGTGGGAAGTCCACAATCAAGGCTCCAGCATCCTTTCCCAGCGGCAAAGTTCTTGTCTGGTCCTTGCATGGTGGAAGGGAGCTAGGGAGCTCCATGGGGTTTCCTTTGCAAGAGGACTAATCCCATTCATGAGGGCTCCATCTCCTGACTGAATCATTCCTGAAGGCCCCACCTGCTAATATCATCTTGGTATTATAATTCCAACACATAAACTTTGAGGAGACAAACATTCAGACAATAGCAGTATCGAATGTAATTTTGCACTGTACATATCTTGAGCCCAGGAACCTGCATTGTGGTGCTCAGAGTTTAATCACAGATTGCCAAGAATTGTGGATCTGGTACTTTCCTATGTCTGATCCCACAGCATTCCTCTCCTTCCCCCATTACCGATTTTACTTCTATTTCTTTGGTCTTTGAAGACATGCGGTTTCATTTCAGCCCCATGGTGCATATCAGGTGGTTATTGCCTTTGGTGGCAAATAGTCAAATACCCAACTGAAGCGGGCTTGAACAATGGAGAATTTAAGGATTTACAAGTCCAGAGGTAAGGTGAGGCTTCAGGTAAAGTCTGATCCTGTAAGACATCACTCGCTGCCCACTTTTGTTTTGTTTTGTTTTGTTTCTGTCTCAGGTGTCCCTTCCTCTGGTGGGAAGGCTGTGTACCCTTACAATGCCAAGATGCATGCTAGAAACTCCTTCAGCTTTATGTTTCATTCTTCTCTGGTAGGAAGAAGACAGCCTCCCAGCCACCCACCCCCAGCTGTCCAGGGCTGAGATTCATTCTGACTGGACAGGCTTAGGTCACATGCCCACAACAAACTCTGTCACTGGGCCAGGGACACGATGGAGGTAAGTGGCTGCAGCCACATCACCTACCCCACCCCAGGGATGGGAGCCCCAGTCAACCTTCCCCAAATTATATGGATCTCCAAGTGGATTAGGGGATGCTGGGAAGGGTGGGGGACAGGTAACAGAAGCTTGCAAAGTGTGCTGCAGGGACGCTCTGTGCCCTCTTCTAATACTTCAGCAGAATTTCTCTCATGGTTTTTCAGAGTTCTTCATTTCAAACATTTTGATGTTTCTGAAAACTTCTATGCTTTTGAATAAGGAAAACATACACCAGAAAACAGAATAATGTTCTTGTACTAATGCTGAGGAAGACATACATTTGAAAAGTCCCTGTTTGCCTGTAATTCTCAGTATTCATTAATGAACTTCATTCTAATTACCTACAGGTGATCTCATGGAGGAAGCTTGGCTGAACGTGCCCCAAGCATACTTAAGTTCCTCTGTATGTGGATGGATGGTACAGTACCCAAACAGCCTGGGACCCAACCTCGAAGCCACATCTACGAGCTGTGTGACTTTGGGCAGGCCTCATACGCTCTCTGTGCCTCAGTTTCCTCATCCATAAAACATCAGCCAATAAGAGGACCAGTGTCACAGTGTTGCAGAGGAGAACATAGCTACAAATACAAGAAAAGAGCTTGAAGTGGGCCTAGCATATGGAGTGTGCACAGGATGTATTAGCTCTAATGGAAAAACATGTCTGTGATGCAAACTACCATGACTTTTGTAACTAGTAAAAGAATAAATATTTAATAACAGACTAAGGAACCTGGAGGGAATTCGTCAATGCCCCAGATGAGGGAAAAACAGAGAGGACAGGAGGAGGAATATTCAGGCAGAGAAAGAGAGATACAAAGACAGGGAGAGGCAGACAGCAACGTAGTGACAAGGAGAGAGAGTTCTGGGGACCGCAGGGTGAACTGGGCCAGGGGAGGCACTGGTCCGGGTGCCTCTGTAGCGCCCAGCTTGGAAGAGAAGGAAACGCTGTTTCCAGTTCGCTCCTAGAGTGCAAAGGAAGAGCAACACAGAAAAGACCGATATCCAGAGGCCAGGCACGAGCAGTTAGTTCAGGCTTGAGGCTCAGGACACAGTCATAGCTGGCACTGCCCCCAAGGCGGGTAAAGTCCTCGCACAGCACAATGACGGGCCGCCCAGCGGGCCCGCGGCCAGCGCTGACGTTCGGAAAGCTTAACAGGGACCCGCGGGGAAGCCCGGTTGCTACCATGGGCGGACTGGGCTCCACGTCGGGGCGCAGCGCTGGGAAAGGGGAGCGCAGAGTGCATCTCACGCCTTGGGAGAGCTGAGTGGTTCGGGGCACAACCAGCACAAGCGAAAGGGCCAGTCGCCCTCCCAGTCCGGAAGTCCGGACGTGCCAGAGTTTCAGGGGCCCTGGCCAGGAGGCGCAGGACCCTTGTCGCGCAGGGGGAATAGACGCCGAGCCGAAGGCCGCGCAGCTGTTCCTTCGCCCGAGGAGGGACCCTCCGAGGCCCTCGGTGGGGCCCGCGGCCGGGAGCGGGGCGGGAAAGAGGGGCCCGGGGCCGGCCCTGTGTCACTCCCGCCCGGTGCCCGCAGTCGTGCGCGCGGCCGCGCCCGGTGGCCCGGGCCATCGCCGACGCCCTGGCCGTGCTGAGTGAGCAGCCTGCAGAGGCCCGAGCTGTTTCCCGGCACCGGCCCGACCCTGGAGCTGCTGGCGGCCGCGGGGCGGGACGTGGCGGCCTGGGTGAGTGCCGCCCGCGCCCCGGCCCCTCCGCTCGCGCCACTCGCATGTGTCCCGCGGAGCCCCCAGCGCCATCCCGACCCCATTCGCGTCCTCTCGGTGTCCCCCAGTCCGGGCTGCGGAGGGTCAAGGGCGGCTGGGAGGGTCAAGGACGGAGTCAGAGGGCGGCCCCGGCCCTTGGCCTCGTTCATTCCCTCGCGTCTCCGCTCCAGCTCGAGCTGGGCCGGCCAGGCTCCTCGAGGAGCCCCCCCGGCGCCCAGGAGGCGTCCGAAGCCACGGAGAGCTGCGAGTGCGGCAGGCGGGAGAGCGGTGCGACCGCGGGCGGGAGCGAGGGCGGCTGCGCCGGGATGCGAGCCGAGGCTTGGAGCGCTCAGGGCCCGGAGGGGAGTTTGGGCGCGAGGGAAGTCCTGGCTCAGCCCGCCTCGCCTCCTTCGCAAGCTCCAGGACTCGCCTCGGTGCCGCGAGGCCACCGTCGTCTTCGACCTCCTGCGCCCGCTCCCGTGGGACCTGAGGCTGGTGGCGCAGTCGGGCTGCGACCCGAAGCGCTGCGCTCGTTCGCCCCCTTGGCCCAGGCGGGTCTCTGAGCAGCGGACGCTGAAGCTGGGACTCTGCCGCGATTGTCCGCTCCTCGACCCTCCTTGGCTGGTGCGAGAGGTGCGGTTACTTTTCCCGAGGACCGGACCGAGTCCCCACAGCTGTGGTGTTTCCCCGGGACCGCACTGCCCACAGAGCTTCCAGGGTTGTCAGGGAAGACGCTTGAAACGTGGGTTAGCCCCATTCGACCATGAGCCATCTTACATCGTTGCGTTGGGTTCCCGGTCACCCTTATGGCTCACCCCTGATTTGAACCCTCTGCTTTGTGGGATTCTATGAATCTGACTTTTAGATCTTCCTACCTGAGCAGGTCTCATTCCTTGAGGGATTTGGGGTTCACAGATTTAAAGTTCCGTTTTTGTGATATTTTTGGATCCTGTTATTTATATTCCCTCTCATTTGTAAGCCCTGTGGTACCTGTGGTGTTATTCTTGGTTTCTCTTTGGTGTTAATTTATTGTCATTTATTAAATGGTGTTACACTTACTAGGGTGAGCAGTCATTTTGAGGCTGTATGAAGTGGAGGATCCCAACTTTGGACTTAGATCTGAATCTTGTATCCAGATGAGACATTTATCTGCTGCACTACTTTTGGTAAAATACTTGCTTTTTCTGGCCTTTAGTTTTCTCCAACTGAAAATAACTTTGTGATACCTCTCTTTGAAAAGTTCATTTATTCATCCATCCAGCCATTCAGTCATCCATTTATTCTGCAGGGGTGGCATTTCCTCATTACCTATTATTTGCCAGGTACTGGGGATACAGAAACATAACCCCTGTTCTCACGGAGCTTCGGAATGAGGAAGGAGCTCATCACTGAAGTCAGAGGAACAGTGTGCTAACAGGCTAGTGTGCTGCAGTCCAAAGCGCCACAGAGGAGTGGCTGGGAGTGACGTTAGGTAGACAGGGACCAGGTCCCAATGCTGCCTGTGGGATCTTTAAAGCAGTTGGATTTTCCTGGAGGATACATAGGGAGTCCTTGCAGGGTTTTTGGCAAGGAAGTGACTGCTCCAATTTGTTTCTAAACGTTCAGGCCTCATAAAAGAAGATGAGGGAATATAAGTGTGAGATGATGGTGAGTTAGACTTCAATGGGGACAGATAAGATGATGATACATATTCCTCTCTTTTCTAGATTAGAAACAATATACGCAAGGCAATTAATATCTGACTGTTAGTAGAAGTATCTACAGTATATAATAAAGGAGACTGACTAAAGTGCTTAAACATGTGAACTCCGAGATCAGAAAGATCTTAGAATCCCAACTTCTGCTTAGTTAGTGTGTGACCTTGGACAAGTCACTTAAACTTTTGGTTTCCAATGAGTAACATAGCTACCCTTCCTAAATGGGTGGTTGTGTGAATTGAATTATGTTAAATTCTATCAAGTGGCAAGGCATAGTCCCTTGCACAAAGTAAGGACCCAACGTAAATCACTTGATCATCATTTTCTAAAAGCTCTAACATGTGAACTATCAGCTATCAGATAAATGAGGAAGCTCTATCCTAGGCCCTGTCTCTAAAATGAAGACACAGTTGGCCAGCCCATCAAAAATTTCTCATGCTGTTCTTTTCGGCAGAGCCCCGCCCCCACGTCATTCCCAGGTGAATCTTGAGTGACCTACACCAATCTTGGGATTCCCATTCCTCTTCCTAGGGATTAGTGTAGGCATGCCTACGTGACTGCATCAGCCAGGATGCCTGCAGCAGACCAGTGTCACAAGTCATCTAGGGTAAGGGATTTACTTAAGCAACAGTGTATAGATGTGGGGCATGGTTATGGGAAACCAGCAAGGGAAAGCACCACAGGCCCAGCCAACAGCCAGAAGTCATTACCATTGCTAAACCAGGAAGGACATGGGAGTGGTTAGTCTCCTGACAAAGATTCTGGAACATCACTGCTGCCAGCCCAGAGCCCAGCAGGGGAGTAGACAGGAGAGTAAATATCCATCTGCCTTCTTTCCCTGCCTCTAACTTACTGCTAGCACCTCTCACTGACTAAACCCAGCTGGAAGACAGAAGGCAAGGGAGTCCCAACCAATGTAATCAGATTCCCAGGCCTAGGTCAGAGCAGAGAGTGAACCCAGGGGACAGAGAGGACATGCTTCAAGGTGATGCAATTCTGGCTGATGATGAGGGAAAATTGGTTTGGGGGGAGGTGGGTGCTCCAAGAAAGTTTCTCTGTTGTCTCATGTAGCAGGGTAAAAAATTGCTCTCCAGAAGATATCTATGCCCTAATGCCTGGAGCCTGTAAATGCAACCTTATTTGGAAAAAAGGTCTTTGCACAGACAGTTAAATTAAGAATTTTGAGATGAGATTATCCTGGATTATCAGGCTGGGCCCTAAATACAACTGGAGAGTGTCATAGAAGAGAGAGAGAGAGTAAGAGATTACACAGAAGAGGAGGGAGCTATGTAGCCATGCAGGCTGAGACTGGAGTGACATAGCCACAAGCCAAGGACAGGTGGCAGCCTCCAGAAGCCCGAAGAGGCAGGAACAAATTTTCCCCAAAAGTGTCTGGAGGGAGCGTGGCCCTGCTGACACACTGATTTGGGCCCAGTTATACTGATTTTGGTCTTCTAGCTTCCAGAACTGTGAGGAATTTCCTGTGTTTGATGCCACAAAGTTTGTGGTAATTTGTTACAGTTGCCATAGCAAACTTACACATTCATTATAAAGATCAGGACCTATTCTAGTTCATTTCTGCAGAAAGGGATTTATTACAGGATACTAAATGGCTTTCAGAAGTGTCAGGAAGGTTGAATAAACAGATTCTGCACTGACCATTCAGGTACAACTTCAAGAGCCTGGGCTTTTCAAGGGCCCACTTCTTTTCTAGGATCAGGATCCTGATGGCTTAATTGGGAATTGGTTTCCACGGCCATGATCAGAAAGGCAGCACAACCAGGCATCTAGGAGACAATTGCCGTCAGGAGACTACTGTGATCAGAAAGACCACCAGGGAAAAAGCAGGCCCTTCCACAGCGGTGGAGGTAGCAGAAGCATGGCTTCCACCCCACAGCCACTATTCAGACCTTGTGTGAATGCGTCTCATTGGAAGAACTCAAATGGAAGGCAGGCCCTAGTTGCAGAGGAGTCAAAGAATGTAGTTTTTTGTTTGCCAGCACCTGTGGGCCAAGAAGGAATACAAGAGGCAAGTTGAAATGGATGCTGATCACCAACCCACCATATTCAAGACAGGTTTCACAGTTGTTAGTAGGAGACACAACTAGATACTTTCATCCTCTTCTTACTCTGGATGTCACTGTGGCTCCATAAGATGCCTGGAACTTCAGCAGCCATCTTGGAACCATGAGGATCTGAGAACAAGCCAATTCTCTTAAAACTAGTAGATCAGAAAGATGGAAGAAATCCAAGCTCCCATACTTCTAAAACGTACTGTCTACCCTCCAGAGCCACCTGGACAACTTCATTGTGATAAAATCCATTGTTCTTCAGGTGTAAGCTCAGGGGTGACAGAGCCTTCAGTTACTTGCAGCCAAAGTACCCTGGTGACCTGACACAGGCTTGCTTTCTGTGTAGAAACACAAGGACCTCATACCAAAACAGCATAGTTCTTTTATGTAAATATTTACCTGTTGAAGTCTGTCCCTGTGATGGTCACTGGAGATAGAGTGATGATAAGACAAACCCTGCTTTGTCCTTCAGATAGCCCTCTTCATCCTTTAAAATTTAACTAAATCCTTTAAAACCATCTTTCTAGCCTCTCCAGTAGGTGATTTTCACCTTTCTTCCTACACACTTTGCACGTAACACTTACCAAATGTACAGGCTCTTGGCTTATGTGGCCTCTGAGCCCTCAGAGGGCTGTGACAGTGAGCCACATTGGATTCCAGTGTCAAGAACGAAGGACGAAGGTATGGGCACTGTAGATTTCAGAAATATATGATTAAGAATGAAGGGATGAACCAACAATTATTGTGAGGTCATCACCTCTGAGTGGGGGTCACCAGAAGACGGGGTCCAATTGCCCTGGGACCCCAGTCATCATCAGGAAATATCCTCTTGAATTATTTCATCCATTTGTTCAATAAACATCTACTGAAAACCTACTCTGGGCTGGCCCTGAACTGGTGACAATGGGACACAGTGGTGACCAAGAGGGCAGAGGCCCTGCCTTCACAGACCTCCCCATCCAGTTGCTCCCAAACTCTCCAGAACTTGGTATTTTCAATCTTTCTAATTATAACCATTCAAGCAGGTTGAATAATGATATCGTGTTGTGGTTTTAATTTGCATTTCCCTAATGACTAATGAGGAGCATGGTTTCATATTTCACATTCCTATTGCAATCCACATATCTTCTTTCCTGATGTGTCTGTTCAAAAAATTTCCCCATTTTGTTGGGCTATTTGTCCTACTAATGAGTTGCAAGTTTAAAAATATATATAATGAGTAAAAGGGCTTTATCAGATCATTGTTTTGCAAATATTTCCTCCCTATCTATGGCTTGTCTTTCCATGTCTTGACCTTGTCTGTTTTTATATGTAGCTTTATCGAAATATACTGGAGACTGAATATCCTGTTCCTCAACAACTTGACATGAACTGCACATATCTGTAACATTAAGTTTATAATTTGGTCAATGTTGACATAATCCATGCAACCATCACCACAATCAAGGTAATAAACGCATCAGCCCCTAGATTCCTCAGGCCTCTTTGTAATTCTTCCTCCGCCCTTCCTTGCTTATTAACTCACTCCCAAAATAAGCCAGAAAAGGGCCACATACTGTATGACTCTATGCATAGGATATTCTGGAGAAGGCGGAGCAAATAGAGACAGAAGTCAGATCAGACTACCAGGTCAGTGTCCATCTCCTGATTGCGACAGAAATCGCCGCTCCCCCTGTGGGCAAGTTCTACAGCATTGCTTGGGAGTCCTTTCTGAAGGCCAAGCCCACAACTTTCACCTCTGAGCCTTTAAGTGGTTTCATAAAAGTATTAGGGTTCTCCAGAGAAACAGACCAATAGGAGAGATCTCTAGTTACAGACAGAGAGATATCAGAGTGTGTGTGTGCGTGTGTGTGTGTGTGTGTATTTTTTTGACATTGTTGTCAAAGAACACAGAATGCTGAAAATTTGTCTATTTTGATGGAAAGTCTGGGCTGTGTATACTAGAACCATAGTTGATATTTCAAGATCTCCAAGGCATTTTGTAACCACCGATGGAATAATTGTTTCAGATAGGAACCATCAATGGATGCTAAAACCATTGGGTGAGTTGTTGAGAAACAGGACATTCACAGTCTCCAGTATCATCCCACAGATGACTTATTAATTAGAAGGAAGGGAAGAAACCTTGACACAGTCTGTGGAAAAAGTCTGTCAGACTCCACCTTCACTCAGTCACTGAAAAGGAGACAAAATGACCTCATGTTCCTTGTGATATGACCCAGTGAGGACATAACATCCTATCTGAATTATTCTTGACAAAAACATTTAACCAGAATCTAAATGATGAAG